AGATCCACTGATTGGACGAAAGGGAACTGCACCATGCATGGGACCCTGTTCAGAATGAATGCACAAATAAAAGGGTTTGCTGTATTTACATATGAGAGCCCCAAAGTTTTCCATGGAATCCGAAGAGTATGTTACCTTGTGGTTGGTTGCACTATGGGCACTGCGAACTGCCGCACTTCTGGCACATTCAAGTTCTGTGATAGCATTTCTGGATCAAAAAACTGCAGCCAAAGTGCTGCATCACAAACTCTCTCCAGCCATGTACGCAGCAAGCGAATTGGCTAAGCTGGGCTATGAATTCAGGCACGTCGCTGGGCGATGTCGCACGTCGCTGGGGAACGTTTGCCAGCACCCAGAGATCCATGGGAAATCCGGGCGGTAAGCCCAAAGAAGCAACGGAATCCAAACGGATTTCGTATAAGATCTTGCTCTACCAAACGGATTTTGGTAGGAATCCAATTCCATCGTTTTTGTAGAGCAAGATTGACGACTGTTGCCTTTGATGCATTCTTTCATAAGGGGGTGACCCCGCCCGGGGGCCCTGTGAGGGACTCATTGATGTCCTTGCCGAGCTCGCTACCAACGGGTCGATTGCTTCATGCTCGCTCGAAACCGATTCGATCGATCTTTCGGATTCTTTCGGATCTCCGGTTGCATCGGTTGCATCGAGCTCGACGAGCTCAAGGGATCGCCACGTCGCCACGGTGCCGGACCGGGCCACCGGGTCCCTGGTCAATGGGTCGGTGGCTCACACCATTGAATGGTGGAGGGATCATAGGCCATCCTGACTTCGGCGCTGAGGGCTCCGAGTTCCCCTGAGACAAAGCGCGAAGAGCTCCGGAGACTTACTTCGACCTCCCTCGCTGCCGACCTCCCCAGGCCTGGTCCCAGTGGGAAGAAGAGCGATTGGGTGCTACGGCAGCGAGGCGATGACCAGAAGGGCTTTGAGTTCAAGGCGATGACCAGTGGTCTAAGGGATGGGGTCCTGAGTGACCTGTGTGACGTGTGGAAACAGTGACTTCGTGGTTGAAGAAGGTGGAAGATCGACATGGAGCCATCTAAGAGTGTTTTGATGTGTCCATCCGCCCTACCTATAGGTGCTGCGTTGCTGCGTTTTTTTTACTTTATTTTTACATCTTCCACCGCAGACTGTTTAACATGGCTTTTAAAAGAGCAAAAGAAGCCAAGTATATGACGACTCGACACTCTAAGAGACTCCAATCTTCTCGGTGAAGCAGTCGACGACATTTGGGGGAGATGGTTTGATTTTCTTGGAGTGATTTCTATCATTTTTGTGTGATTTCTGAAACACCTAATGACCACTGGAGTGATTTCTCCAAAGCACCTCGCTTCTTCTTTTGAGAACGATATCGGTGATTTGAACGATCTCAGAGGTCCTTTGGATGAACCCAAAACAGACCTTCGAGCCGGACGGCAGCCGGTGCAGGATCAAGGCAACTACAATGAAGTGGCCAACGCCGTGGTGTTCGGGTGCTCAGGACCTGCACCAGGACCGACCGGCACGAGTGCGGATGTGGAGGGAGGAAGTGTGATGAATGAGAGCTGCTAGAGATCTGTCTTCTGAGTTTCTCCGGCATTGCCGGCATGGGGACCTGAATGAGAACATTTCATCACATTTCAGGGCAAGAGGTGAACATTCCCCCTATAGAGAAGTAGACTATGCCGCCTATGACCATGAAAGCTTTGTTCGGAAAAAAGTAGCGTGATCTTTCGGTGTCGGCGCTTTGCCTTGCATGTGCAATTCACCAGATCAACTCAGTTTTCGCGTTGCCTCACTTGTTCTATACCTTTAAGATGCACTTATAGAAGCTACATAAGCTGAGGTCCTTCGTGCAGCAGCAGCTGGTCTCGCTCTGTGAACTTCTACCCTTTCCCTTACCTCCCACAGCCGGGGAGGCGAACTCAGTGATCTACGCCACGCAGAACTTTCAGGAACATCCTGGTCCGTTGCTACTCTTGGTGTGTGGTTCCGCCCCAGGTGGTGCGGCTGGGGTTTGGGGTCGAAGCTTATGCATCAATGCCACGCTGCATGAGGGCGCGATGTTTGATTACATCTTCCGGGCAGAGGCCTTGGGCTGGGCGGTGGTGGTCGCCAACCCAAACATCAACGAGATTCATGGGATTCCAATCACTGGCTCTGAAAGTCCTCATCAACACCTGGCCACTCTTTGGAAGTCATACATGGAGTCTGCCCAAGCTTCAAATGTCTTGGTGGTGGCACACTCCTATGGTGCGCCTCTGATCGTGCACCTCTTGAAAGTGTTCGCCAGCGCCCGAGCTCGGATTTCCGCCTTGGCCTTCACGGACGCTTGGCCTCCAGGGGGTTTCTTGGAAGAGAAGATCCCCGAGGAGAAGGAAGCTCCAACGCCCGCGGAGTCCGCCCTGCGAAAGGTGCTCTTGGATTTTGCCAAGAAAACACCAGAGGCCTTTGCCCCCGCTGAACCTGAGGTGGTCTCCACCTTGCAGCAGGTAGGCAGGAACTTCCGTGCCAGTCCGCTGCCTGCTGGAACCTTCTTAGGTGTTGGAGAAGTTGTCGAGGTGAGTGCTGGTCATCAGAGTCATCCCTCTACCACACACGCTGCCACCGAGCCACTCTTTCTGTTCCTGCAACAAGGAGCTCAAGGGGACGCCCCGAAAGCAAACGAGGAGCTTCGAGCCGCCCGAGCAGCTTGAAAAGATGCCCTTCGGATGATGGCAGAGGTATGATAGAATGGACCATGTATCAATATGACATTCATCAGTGCATGGAGGTACCAATAATATCTTGCATGGCTGTTCTAGATTCTAGTCTAGATCTTGCAAGGACAAGGAGTTGACGGCTTGTGGGCCGTTGTGGGCATCGCTTTTACTCATTCTCCAGAATATCTGCACTCAAAACAGATAGCAGCACTTTAAGTAAGACATGTTCTACTCCTTTTTCAGCAAGCCCAGGCTTTGATCCTTTTTTGTTGGACATCACTCCAATCTGCACCCAACCGCACCGCGTCACTGCACTCAGCCAACCCAGCCAACCGATATGGCCCGATATGCCCTTCCTTCTCACCCAACATCTCTGGCCCTCTTCAGACCCCTCGAGGGCCCCACCAACCCTCTCCAGCTGCCAGGTGAATCGCTTGCAGAACCGGGTTCTGCTGCTCCAACGGGAGTTGGAGATCGTCCGAGGGCCGGGTCGCTTGGGCGAACCCATGGTGCCCGAGAAGCTCTTTCAGCAGCTCACCACGGCACATGCCAAGGCCGCAACCCTCGGGTGGTGGACGCATGTTGAGACGTGTGGGTATAGACGAGTAGCGGTGTAGGCCGGTTGAGGGCGTTCTTGAAACTGCTTCGTGTCTGGATGGGCGGTCTGTTGGTCTTTTTGGTTTTGGACATCACACAAGTGAGCAAGTGTCTGCAACTTGTGTGGCAAAGTTTGCATGATTACCCTTTGTTTAAACAATTACTATTATTATTATAGTATTACTATTTTTTTCCCGCATCACCATGCATCTCCACTCGTCGACGTGACATGACTTGTAACACCTCCGCGGCGCAGTAGCCTTTGTCCTTTCAAGCCGGAAGAGCAAGACACCGAAACGAACGGCTCCACCACGTAGACAGCATCATGGCCCATGTGCTAAGCCTCCGCTACCACAACAGCTTCATCGATGTAGAGGAGCCAGTGGCTCCTCTTCTGCGTCGTGCCAGCAGTGCTCCTGTCATGGACCGAGTGGCTCCCTGGGGTGCTAACAAAAACGAAGAGGACCAGTTTTTGTATGTTCAGGCACTCTCGAAGAAGCTTCAACAAAAGTGGCAAAGCGTGAGTGGTGTGATGTGCATGCCTCCAGAGCAAATGCAGCTTGATAGTATCCCAAGCTTCGGCAGTTTGGGGCATCCAGATGTATGCCACCGTCCTTGCATGTACTTCCAGGCCGGGCTTTGCCGCAATGGAAGTGCTTGTACCTACTGCCACCTCTCCCATGATGAGAAGCAGGTGAAGTTGGACAAGAAGCAAAGGGTGCTGATGCAACATATCAGCTACAAGGAGCTAGTGGTTCTCACCCTGCCTTTCGTCCGACAACGGATTCAAGAGATGACCGTCGACGCTTCAGAACTTCTTTTTCTTTTAGAGACTGAGGCAGCGGATGCCAACTTGCCAGTCGTTCCCCTTCGAGAGGGGCGGAACCTGTCAAGGGTCTTGGCTCGAATGAACCTTTCCAGGCTGATCGGCTTAGTGCAACACAAGATCTCCAGTCAGAGTGATCCTGAGAAGGCAAACCTGTCGGAGAGCCTGGATGTTGCACTGGAGAGTATTCGCAACCATTTCATTCTGAAGGAATGAGTGGACCGCATTCGATGACAACGTTTGAAAGTGCAGTGAGCTCACAGCAGTACGGCAGAAGGCTGAGCCAAGAGCTTTCACTTTTATTTTTGTTGCCTTTTCATAAGGCATTTCAACTAGCTGGGGATGAAACTTTCCCTAGCCCTATCCATTCCAAAGCACCCTTCCTATGTCCACTTGGCTGGCCACCTGTGGCTGCGAAGCAGAGTTGCGCTGAGCAGAACGTAGATCTTCAGCCGTGGCTAAACTGTGTATGGTTCTTGTTAGCACGAGTTGGACCACTCAAGGCAGGAAGATGGCTTGATGTTTTGAAGACCCTTAGTCGTTTATCAGTCTTCAAGGCTTGGCTTGAGGGCGCTTTCCCTTTTGGGACATCCAAAAAGGGAAAGAAGGCCGACCCTTCGTGGCTCGGCGTTGCAAAAGGCGGAGAGTTGAATCAGCTGAGCTGAGAAGGCACAGAGCTGTTGAAGGCACACAGCCGAGGTGATGTGGCCTTTTGAGACATAGAAACGGTTTTGACACTTGATTTCCGTCGTGTTGCGTTTTCAGTTTTGTTTGTTTCGAGGGCCAACAGGATCATCTTGCAAGAGTTTATCTTTCAAACGTAGCCATTTGCGAGCTCAAATTCACTGAAGAACGGCTCCACCACGTAGCCAGCATCATGGCCCATGTGCTAAGCCTCCGCTACCACAACAGCTTCATCGATGTAGAGCCAGTGGCTCCTCTTCTACGTCGTGCCAGCAGTGCTCCTGTCATGGACCGAGTGGCTCCCTGGGGTGCTAACAAAAACGAAGAGGACAAGTTTTTGTATGTTCAGGCACTCTCGAAGAAGCTTCAACAAAAGTGGCAAAGCGTGAGTGGTGTGATGTGCATGCCTCCAGAGCAAATGCAGCTTGATAGTATCCCAAGCTTCGGCAGTTTGGGGCATCCAGATGTATGCCACCGTCCTTGCATGTACTTCCAGGCCGGGCTTTGCCGCAATGGAAGTGCTTGTACTTACTGCCACCTCTCCCATGATGAGAAGCAGGTGAAGTTGGACAAGAAGCAAAGGGTGCTGATGCAACATATCAGCTACAAGGAGCTGGTGGTTCTCACCCTGCCTTTCGTCCGACAACGGATTCAAGAGATGACCGTCGACGCTTCAGAACTTCTTTTTCTTTTAGAGACTGAGGCAGCGGATGCCAACTTGCCAGTCTTTCCTCTTCGAGAGGGGCGGAACGTGTCAAGGGTCTTGGCTCGAATGAACCTTTCCAAGTTGATTGGCTTAGTGCAACACAAGATCTCCAGTCAGAGCGAACTTGAGAAGGTGAACCTGTCGGAGAGTCTGGATGCTGCACTGGAGAGGATTCGGGACCATTTCATTCTGAAGGAATGAGTGGACCGCATTCGATGACAACGTTTGAAAGTGCAGTGAGCTCATATTGCACAGAAGGGCAGCAGTACAGCAGAAGGCTGAGCTAAGAGCTTCCACTTTTTTTTTGCCTTTTCACGAGGCTTTTCAAAGAGCTGGGGATGAAACTTTCCCTATCTATTCCAAGCACTCTTTTTATGCCCACTTGGGTGGCCACCGGTTGCTTTGTCAGCTGCCACAGCTGCAGAGAACTAAATTGGACCACTCAGGACAGCAAGGTGAAGCTTGGCACGGTGTGTTTCGGGAGACCTCCCACTTCGGCCCGGGTGTGTATACCAGTCTACAGGGCCAGGGGAGTCTCCTTATGAAATACACAGCCCTTTTGCAACACTTTTTGGAATCTTTTTGAACACCCGTCCAGCGTTCGAGTGAGATGGCTCCGTCCAGCGCCCAACGGTTTTTTCAACAACTGACCACAGACCACACGCCGGCGAGCTGGTTGAACATCCGAGCCAGGCGAGTGCGCAAAAGCAGGTTTCTGGTCTTGTTTCTTTCTGCCGAAGCAGCAATGACTGAGTGTCAGTGTGTTTTCAGCCAAGGAAAAGCCATCACCCTCCCCAAATTATTTGTGCATTTGTTGCAGTTCCAGTTCCATTTGTTTTATCCACCTTTCTCGCTCAAATTACTAGCGAGGTGGCGACCCAGTTGCAAGTCCTCAAGGAGCAGAGGAAGGCGGGTACCAGCCCGAAACAACTGGATTTACCGGTTGAAACTCTCCCACCCATCTGGTTCTCAGTTGTTTCAATCACTTTGTTTCTTGGGTGGCCCCCCAAATACCCATCGAAGCAAAGACAATGAACAACACAAGACTCGACTCCCCGGCAAGCACCATCTGACCATGGCGGTTTTGCTGGGTGGTGTTTTTTGAGGATGGTTGTGGCAACATGCTCCTCACTATGGCATCAAGACAAATGATTGAAATGTCATGGTGGGGATCACTCGAAGTAAAGTAATTGTGTGTTTTGCTGGTGACCTTTTGATTTGCCAGCTTTTTGGGCTCACAAACCCTCACGAAGCTGGTGCTGGTTGGCTCATTTTGCTGGTGCCTTTTTTCGGACCATCTCACCCGGCCAGGTCCGAGAACGGTCCATGGGAGCCGAGGCAGGCAGCGGAGCGCGGAGCGCGGAGCGACGCGGTGCAGTCACGGCAGTCACTCCCCGAGCACCTCGGAGGTGACCAGCGGATGGACGCACGATCGGTGGAGGTCTTTTGTCGCAGAAGAGGCAGATAGGCAATGATCTAGAGGCAGATAGCTTTCCTTTTCTGGCTTACGATCATTTACATCGATATGCGGAGGTCTCTAGGCCAGGACATGTTGCACATGTCGATCTTCATTTTAATATGTTGCAAAACGGTGTTCTTTCGCTTTTTGAGCCGTCAATGACCTACACTAGACACGAGAAAAACACCCAGACACCACCCTACATGATCACCGATGATCTCTCTACGCCAAGCTCTTCCGGCTCCGGGCCGCCCCCACCGCCGCTTCCGTCCAACGGCCTTCTCTTCGTGCTCCACCCGACCCGATGGGCTGCACGGCGGGACGGGCGCATGAAGAGCAGAAGGCGGCCAGTCGGTGGACACTCGGACGAGCCAAGAATGAAGGTGGACGAGCCAGTCGGAGGGGGGTGGCGAAAAGGTGTTGAAAGTACAATAATATCCTTGAGCGCAGGATGAAGGACCCCTGTTTTGAGGCAAAAGGATGTTGGGACCTAATATGATATCATCACATCCATTATTTGGTGTGGTGCCAAATCACAAAGAGGTTCTATATAGGTTCTGTACAAGATACCTCAGGATTCCTGGCCCCCACCATTGATTTAGTGAGTTCTGACTGAACAACCATGAATTCATCTATACTCTTCGCACTCTCCCACCACAGTTGTTCCTTCCATGCTTGACTCCGACCGGTGTTCACGGGTTCACGTCCTCACGATGTTCACGTGGAGAGTGCAAACGCAGCGCCCCGATGTCGGATGACCATGAGTTCTTTTCTTTTTCTCGATTACCAAGCAGGTGGTTTTCACTCACTCACTCACTCGCTCCACTTGAAAGGGATTTGTTTCAAGGAGTGTATCTCGTGATTCAAGCCTTGGCGAGGTGCAAAGAGGCGCAGTGCAACCCTTGGCGGGGTGAATTGGTTTTGGAAGTAACTCATAGTATCTCGATGTTTCACCTGGTGAAAGTCTCAGTCTCTTCACGAAATCCCAACCCACCCACGACAGTGTGGGTCAGTCACAGTCTCTCGCCCGCGCGCTGTGGGTTCGTAACAGCTTTCGGGCATAAAGGAGAGTTGCAATGACTATCTTGGTGTCTCCTCAAGACATCTCAAGACTCGAAGGCGAAGGGCCCACAAATTCCCCCGGTGATGGAGATTATCAGGCCTAGCTCTTGAAGCGTCGTTGGCATGGCTTCGCCGAACTTGGGGAGCCTCTACTTCTTCGGAAGAAGCATCAACACCTTTAAGTGGTTTGCCCTTGGTCCTTCAGGACCTGCTCGGGACAAACGTGTTGGGTCCATAGTGTGGGTTGGAGGATGAAACGATCCGGTCACTCTTTTTGGAGACACGGACGGTTCGTACGGGAGGAACACCCTGTCCCGCCCTTCATGCCAAAAATCCATCCGAGGGTTCTAACACGAGCTGAATATATCATTTTGTATATCCCTTTGCTTCCAACGGGGCAACGGGTTGCACCAACACGCGGTTTGTTAGCACAACATCCACGGCACCCAGTTGGGACTGTTTGAGGTATTCCAAGGTGCTGCGGAAGGGACCTCACATGACGAAGTTGATGGAAAACCGCGTGCGCTATTTGCCGTTAGAGATCAGAGGCCAGCATTTCGAGTGTCAACAAGCTGAAATCCAACCTGAATTGATATTATATGTATAATCATTAATGTATTGCTACTTAGTTTGGCTCATGTCTCTACTCAAACTCTATTTTTTGCAGAGGATGAGTGATCAGAAATCTCGTTGTGTTACGAGTCCTACAAAGGGAGCATAAGTTAGGGTGTTTGACAGCTCTGTGCTGACTGGGTCTAACCAACACCGATAGTTGAGACCTGTGGAGAACTCAGGTAGGGGGTGGGTTCAGGCTGTCGGCCAGAGAGGGTAGGATGGTCGAAGATGCTGTTTGAAGGAGGAAGAAGTTCAAGCGCTATAGAAATGACGATCCAAGCCGTTTCTGCTAAGCTGCTAAATAACATTTAAATCTTTAATGCAGATTGAATCGATTCAACAAAAAACGGCACATATAGCTAAACTGCGTGCAGTTTGTTCAATGTGGAACGTCGCTTCAGGCGCCTGCGTGTTGGTGAAGATGGGTGGTAACAGATACCGAATCGACAACAGCAAGCTGAATGACCGTGCTCATGGCGTGTGTTTTCGATTGTCAAAGAACATAGAAGACCGAGATGATGAGCATATCGCTTATTGGAACGACTACGTTGATGGAGTGGACACAGGAGACGGATGGAGTCTTGGCTTCTCCTTTCTTTTTTTTCAATTTGTGGTCTGGGCTTTGGAGTGGGGGAAGTGGTGAGATGCTGAGATGATGTGGGATTTGGTGGACCTGGAAAAGGCACCTGTATTGCTTTTGCCGTTGTTTTTTCTCTCTCCGGTTGGATGGTTGGATGATCATGACGGAACCAATAGATACACGGAGGCTCGTACAAAAATAGAATCAGGCATCAAAAACAACCTATTTGGGTGTTGTCAAAAAGAACACACATGTTGCGTCCAGTTTCCCGGTTTCCCAACATTTTCAACACTATATAATAAGCAGTACGTATAATAGCTTAACATGGCACTTCAAGGCCAGGTGTTTCGCCTTGTTTAGCTACTCACTTCAAGGCCTTTTTTTGTCACCTTGATGACTTCAAGGCCAGGTTTACAGCCTTAAAGGGCAGCGTGTTCCGCCGTCAACTGTTAGGAACTCCGGAGCAAACAGCTCGATCGAGCTCGGTAAGACGTTCCCATCCCATCCCAAGCAGGGTGTATAGAACATGGTTATTTCTGATGTTATATAATGGTTGGTAGAAAAACCATCCGAACTTTGATGGATAGAAGGCGCCCTTGTTTTTGTTTCCAAATGTTTCCAATGCAGCAATTTGATAGCATGTGTTTAATCGTATTAAAGCACATCATCTTGTATATGTCTCCGATGCACAGCCTCACCTGGTCGTTCCATTGGGAACGGAACAGCTGAGCGTGGGGCGATGACTCCACCGGGCTGACGAAGTCATCGCGGCGCTCTGAACGTGGGGCGATGACGCCGGCGCCTCCGCTTTGCTGAGGATTTCCTGTGACATCGATGCTAGAGGCTTGGAATATTTGGAGGACATGGAAAAGGAGACGCCTCTGGAGACCCTCGACAAGTCTCTGCAACAGCTCGGCCGACCCACTTCCAAGAGCAGGACGTGACGTGTGACGCCGCGGGGCGAAGGAAAGGGACATAGGGAGCATATGACGAGGAAGATGGAGCTTCATGTCATGCATGTCATGCAACAGGCGGAACGAAGGGATGGAACTTGGAGGTAGTGGAACGGAACGCCCAGCTGGTTCTGGTCCAGAACATCAAAGAGATTCATGACGGTGATGATGATGAAGTCACTTGGGCGAGCTTCAGGGCCCGTGGCCTACATGTAGGGAGGGTTGTCAGGGTGGCTGCTCCTTCTCCCGCTTGTTGCCAGGATGATGATCGTCAGCAGTAGCAGTTCGAATGTGGATGGGCGCTGGATCTCCCGAGGCTACGCTGGGCAAAAGCTCATTGATGGTGAGCATGTGCAATATGGTGCTGGCTTGAGCACCACCCTGGTTTGGGAAGGCGCCACGGACGTGAAAGAGTTGGGGGATGTAAGGGAGAATGAGAAAGAGGAGAAAAAAGGGAGCTACGATAGTCAAGACCCCCTGGAATACGATCCCATGGACCCTGAGGTCACCACGTGAACACGTGGAGGAACACCATCCCCATGTGTTGGGGGCCATTCTCACGGTCCATGTTCGCCTCTGTGGGAGGGCAGATGTCAATAGGATTCAATACTACACTTAGTAGCGATGCCCTTTGTTCTTAGTAGCGTCCGATCGCTCCGTTCGTAGCAATGCCGTTTGTTCCAATAGATTCTGGACATTTCTTGACCTTTCATGTCGAGAATTGATGAGGCTCTGACGACAACCGACGACACGAACTGGAGGTTTGTTGGACTTGGAGCCCTGGGGTTGTTGGGTTTTTGAATGACATGTTCACTCATGTTCGGAGTAAACGGACGCCCTACGAACTACTAGGTACACGGTCCGTGGTGTAAATCAATGATGGTCGTGGGTTAATCATGTCGAAATGTGCGTAATTCCATTAGGAATGATGTGCCCAACGTTTCATCAGTGGAATCATGGTCAATTCCAAGCAGATTTGCCTGAAATGAGAGTTTCGCTGAGGCGAAATGCTGATTTCGAAGCATTTTCGAAACTACGTAACTAATTGGGCCGTCGGAAAAAGTTGCGACTTTTTCAGTCTTCACAAGAGCTCCTCCAAGCGGCGCAAGAACTGAGCCGGTGTAGCATAGGTCAAGCTTTGGCGCAGCAACTGAACGCAGCATCAACTTCATGCAGCAAGTGCAACCGAACGTTAACATGCCCCACCCCACCCCATTCCCACACGTAGCATCCACATCCCCCTCAAGCAAACATGCAAAAACGACAGCGTAGAAAACGAAAAATCAATAAAATTGCAAGAAAACACCACGGCCGTCTATCAGCCGTGGGCCAACTACTATGTACCATACCCTGTGGTAAGGTGGGTGGTACGGTGGGTGGGCCCAGGCCACATGGGTGGGCCCTACAAACTACTGCTCAAGTCACCCATCTTTTGCATCCTCAGAATTGCCCGACTCATTTCTTTCTCTCCACAGTCCGTCCGTCCGGGTTGTGCCCACGCACAGTCCGGCAGAGCCGAGGCCTTAACAGCTTTTCCATTGACGTGGGCGGAGAGCGCCGACGGGCACGGCTCATCGATGATAGTCTGGTGTGGAACGATGGAGATGTGACCTGGAGATGTGATAGTGTTCTTTCTTCATCTTTCTTCCTTATTCTTTTTTTCTTTGTTTGCAATAGCGATGGCCTCCAACCTAGGAGCGATGGCCTCCAACCTACTAGCGGCCTCCAACCTACTAGCGGCGATGGCCTCCAACCTAGTAGAGATGGCCTCCAACCTACTATATAGCGATGGCCTCCAGGAGCAATGGCCTCCAACCTACTAGCGATGGTGCCTTTAGTGAAGTGCTCAACCTCCCGAACTTTTGATTCAAATGTTTTTATATCACCCAGACCATCCATGTATGGCATATTTGATGATATATATATATATATGACAATTTCATAGCGTTTGGGGCTGATTTCCTTTGGTTTGGGGCTGGTCCCAAGATGGAAAGAGGCTCCACTGAGAGTTACACATTGTTCTTTACCGTGACATTTAGCATCAATCCGCCTGTGGGGGGGAATGGCGGGAATCGATGGGCTCAGGAAAAAGCAACTTATATGCAATTAAATGCATAGCTTGGAAACGTTATAGTTCCTCGTGTTCTGCCTAAAACAACGACAACAACTTAGGTATTTTCAATCTTTGAGGCAGTCATTACCATTGGTTCAGAACCTTGGTGGTGGCAGTGGCATCTTATCTGTTGAGCGCAGGACGTTTCTGAGCTCTTGTGCAAAGCAGGTTCCTAATCCAGGATTGGTGAACCTCTCATTGGAGAGCTTGATTAGGTTTCAGGATGAACACATGGGTCATGAGCTTGTGCGCCACAAGGCTCAGGAATATGTCAGGAAGCGCCCCAATTACAACAACACACGTCGTCGATTGCTGGCAAAGGTCATTGATCGAGACAAGCAGCTTATTTGACTCTTTGTTCTTTATGTTTGTATGTTGTTGACCGACTTCATGAATTTCACACAGCAGCAGCAACCATCATAAGGCAGAAAAAGAATGGAGTTTGTTGTGAGCGACTGGCGAGACTATGTCAACGACATTCATGCCGGTGCCACCGTGGGAGTTGCTTCAAGCGTTTTCAGAACCTACTTGGCAAGCTCAACCAATTCTTGAGTCGGTTTTGGGGAATGGATAAACCGAAGCAAGACTATTTTGTCGGATCCTAAGGACGCTCACTCAAGTCTTTTTGTCATGTGAACTCTGTCCCTGAATCGGTTTATTCTGCGGGTTTTTTTGAGCTAAGATGAGATGGGTCGTGGACAAGGTGCCAGGGAACACTAAGCAATGGTCGCTTCTGGGGAGACACGTGGCTCCCAAATGTTTGGCCTCGCTATGTGGTATCCATTCTCGAAGATTGTTGAGGGCACGCCAGGGGGATGTTGATCATAGGTTCGGTTGTAATGGGGCAGCTGCCAAGCTGCATCCATACGTGATCGCCTTTTTTCAATTTACTACACACAAGTTTGTGATTCCAAGTTTGCAATATGTTTGATCTACAACAGCCTGAGTGAGGTTGGAACGAAGATGGCTGTGAAGCGAAGACAGGTGGACATGTTTCTGCTTGGCCTTTATCAAGGTGCAGCAGGAATGCTTCCGAATAAGTTGCTTGGAACCATAAAGAACCACACTTTTCAAAAGTGCTTGATCAATAGTGAAATGACCGTGGCAGTGTTGCGTAATTTCAGGTTCCAACGGGCTGCTCGGTCCAGAGATTGCCCAGAGAAGCTGTCCGCATTGCTGGGATCGTCCGATCCAGGAAACTCATGTTAGACATGATCATAACTTTGGTTGTGCACCCAGTTATGGCATCGTGAGCATTTTCCTTTTGTTATTTTTCATGAGGAGACGAATGTGACGAATCTGATGATAGTGATGCAGAGGGTGATGTATTTCATATTGGTTCGGAACGCCTAGACGAAGATGAAGAACTCCGATTATACATTTTAGGTGTGAAGAGCTTCTGGACCAAGTTCATGCCTTACTAAATGTTCAATATTCACGCAACCGTTCTGCATCACAACTTTTTGGGCGGTGGCTGAACATGGCTGAACATTGCGAGGTATGTTGAGAGCAACGCTGCCCAATGCATTTCCCAGCTTCCTACGAGATGGTTGCCACCAGGTTCGATCAGACTTTTGTACTATCAAATGGACAACTCCCAAATATCGTGTCTTGGTGACCTATAGCTGTGGGGTTTCAATTGTGTTTATAGTGAAATACGATTGGGCGCTTGCCTGTGCCACCTTTGAGGTACATCACGTTCTGGCGGCGATATGATACTGTCTGGCGGAACACGCTGCGGTTCTTGGCACCCACGTGCCAAGCCTCATGTGATCAGTGCGTGGATTGCAAGGAGGGATTCCGTCGGGCCAGGGAGTCTTTGAGGTGATAATGTTTGTTTCAGTCAAATCATTTGATGTAGGTCTACAGGCTTTAGGTGCTTCGATCGAAACTAAGGACAACCAATCGAGATTCGATGTAGCCCAGACCTACCGCGAGCACCTGAAACAGGTGTATGCCGATAGAGGATTGGAAGAATGGTTGCAGGTGGGACGTGCTTACTTCATGATCTGTTGTTGAGGGATCTTGAACATATTCAACCCAACAAGAAATCTAATCTCACGAGGCCCAATCCCCACTACAGAACGAGGAAGCACCATTGGGAATCCACATGGCTGCTCAGAAGCAGTTTTAAACAAAAACGGAAAATAGTTTGATGATCATTCAACACACAATTGTCCAAGGACGGGATGGACCAGTCAAAATGGGCACTACCCAGACACCATCTCATCGCCCGTGGAAAAGAATTTCAGAAGTATATTCGCCCAAGAGCAAAGATACACGCGGTCTGGGTGGCTGGGGTATGTTTGGACATATACGTTGTCAGTCAAGGTGTCAGCTCTGACGCAAGCCTGATCCTGGAGACCTTGTCTTTGTCCCTGGAGGGTGTCGCTAAGCAGTTTGAGGAGGCGTCTGCCCAGATGCCAAGCTCCTGCTTGGTTTGGGTGGCTTAGTAGCATTGAAACCGTCGTATGAAAAAGGTGTGCCTACAACGAAGTTACAGAATTGTTTTTAACTATTGTTTAAGTCTGATGTGAGGCAGACAACACTGTGAGGGAGAACAAAAACAACAGCGTCCTAAAGTACATGGGTCTGATGCTTTTACGACAGAAGATGGCCCTGACCGGGATCCAGTTTGGGAGAGTCGGACACAGTCACGGTTCGCTGGGTTACTTGGAGTTTGAGTTGGTGCGTGTTTCCAACGATGGGTGTTTGGCATTTTTGGAACTCATATGACCCCACCCATGCGGTTCATTTTCCCTGCCCGCTCGGACGCAACTAAGATCAACTATTCGGAATACTGGGAACCGCCATGAGACACATAGATCTCATCGTGGATGAGAATGATCTGGTGCAGAAACTAGGCTTACATTGAACTAGTTGTTGACAAATAATTACATATGATTGTGCAACCAACCCCTTCAACCTTGGAAGTTCGGTTCCTGTAGGAAAATCAAAGCGATCTGCGAACGCATCTCGATCCGGAAGTGGCTGGGCGCCGATGCTCGAATCAACGTGATTCCTATCAGTGCTGTGAGGCCTTGGAAACAATGGTTCCTTTGAAGCAGTCCTACTTCATGAACATGGCCATGTCATGCCGTGTCCCCCTCAAACGTGAAGCCACTTCCCTGTCTCGCTCGGAGCCGCTCAGGCTTGAAGCTCTCCCAGTGACCTATGCAGGCGGTCTCAGGGATGATTGCACAGGTTTGCACTCCTTTTTGTTTATGGCAAGACGAGGCCAGGGTCTGAACTACATGGAACTGCACCCAATGTGGTTTTTCAATTACAGTTCTACCTTTTTCAGCCCTTGTCCGTCAAACCAATGACAACTGTCCCGTGCCCCTGAGATATTCCTCGGAACTTGAAGATCAAATCCTATGGTCCTGCGGCCGAAACCATCATGGAACATGAGTTGGACGCCATTCTCTGCGTCAAGAGATTTGCATCAGATTTCCAACTAGCACAGGACTGCAATTTTGTTGATTCAGAAGTCATAGCTAGACTTTCGGGGAAGTGACTAGTGGGTGGATGTGGTGTTCATATCATTCTTTCAGGAGCCCATCCTAGCCTTGCCTTTCAAATACCTGGACTATTTGCCACCTCTTCCAAGTGTTGCTCGACCCCTGAAGCTTGCCACGCCGCCGAAATGCAAGGATTACTTGCTTCTCGCACAGGCGCTGCTGAACAGATTTCCAACTCAATGCATGGCCCGAGCGATTTCGTTCTTGATGCGTGTGGCTAACAATACAGATCCCGGTTCACTGGGGGATTTGATTTGGTTTTCCTCCCAGCGAAGGGCGGATGATGTTCAAATTCAAAATTTGGCAACCCTTTCAAAGGTTGCCCCTGCAATGAGATTTCGTGCCAGATTGAGGCAATGATGGGGTGAAAAGAGGTAGCATTGTTGATTCTGTATATTTTGTGCAGTAGTATCAGACTAGTTAGCAAACAAACCTGTGCGGATTGGCTGCCATGTTTGGCTGAAAGTGGATGGGGAAAACATGTCGGAGCCCACCCGCCCTTCCTTCAGGTTGGACTACAAGTCTGTCTTGGGTGTATCCTAATACCTGTTGGTTTCCCTGATCGCACCGTAGGCGAATGAACGCTAAGGCTGGGACACTTGACAAACTGCACGCCGTCTCGTCAAGATCCCCGGGACACCTGTGGCAGGTGTGGGAGGAAGGTCGAGCCTACAAACGTCGAAAGCTTGTGAGCAGGGCTTGGCTGTATATTCTTAGAGTTTCATGATTTAACAAAACACGCCAGGAAGAAGCAATGGAGAAGCTTCAACTCATAAGTGACCGACAAGTGGATTCTGTGGACTTAAATTACGAGGAGGTCAGGTCACAAGAATTAGGTATTGATGAAGCGTGGCGCTGGGCAGATACCCAGGCTTGATCGAAATGCGGAATTCATTGAATCAACTGCATTCAATCCCTTCTCAGGTGGTGCCTTCGCCAAAGAAACCACAGGCTGGATCGGCGCCTGGAACC